TCCCTGCAAGGCTTTCAAGAGGGGGGGGCTGGTGGATGGCCCAGCAGCTGTTTCTCTATCAACAGCCGAGTCTCAAATCCTGATGCTTTTCACCCTGGGGCTAAAAGCAAGACCAAGAACCTCTTTCTGGGGTTTAGAGCCAGCCAGATGTGGGTGTGGCCTGCTGTAAACTCACTTTCTATGTTTTTTGGCATCCTGGCTGGTTCTCCGCCGGATCTTTTATCCTTGTTTAACTTTCTTTGCTGGCCAAATCGGTGTTGACTGACTTGATTTGGAAAGAAACCTTTATAGTTTATATTGGAATTTGCTCCTAGTTTAAGGTAAAGTTTCCCTTCGCACACAGTGCTAATCGTTCCCGACTCTAGGGGGTGGTGTTCATCTCCATTTCAAAGCCGAAGAGCCAGCGCTGTCCGAAGACGTCTCCGGGGTCATGTGGCCGGCATGACTCAACTCTCGAAGCCGCACGGAATGCTGTTACCTTCCTACCAAAGGTGCTTCCTATTTTTCTACTTGCATTTTTTACCTGCTTTCGAACTGCTAGGTTGGCAGAAGCTGGGACAAGTCACGGGAGCTCACTCCATTTACCCAGCACTAGGGATTCAAACTGCTGAACTGCCAAGCTTTCTGATCGACAAGCTCAGCATTTTAGCCTCTGAGCCACCTCGTCCCCTGGCTCCTGGCTTTACAGGTGTTTTAATCTCTGTCCAATTCCCAAGGGATTTGACACTAACCGAAATGACCCCGGAGACATGAAATGTATGGCTTCCCCCTCCTCAATTGAAGACAGCGCAGGTAGCCCTCGACTTGCGGGAGTTAGTTTAGCGGCCGTTCGAAGTTACGACGGCACTGGAAAAAGGGACTCTGGGCCATTTTTTCACACTGGGTTTACTTTTGAATGCTTGATAGCTGACTCACCTCGATGACGGCGGCAGTTATCCCGGAGTCACGCAATTCCCCCCCCCTTTTTTTTGCGACCTTCCGACAAAAGTCGGCGAGGACACCAGCGTGTGACTCATTTACCAACTGAAATGGTTCCATCGGCCGAAGTTGCAAAAACAAACCACGTCGTAACATGGGACAAAACTTCACTTAACAACATCAGTTTTGGGCTCGGTTGCGAATCGTAAGTTGCTAATTTTGAAAAATCTACACATAGCCCCAGGGCTTAGTAGTCTGAAGGGCTGCCTCCCATCCCTTCCGGGGGGGTGGTGTGTCTCCAGGCCAAAATGTTTCATGGACTTTCCAAATCCTTCCGATCTCTTTGAAACAACGTAGGAAAACTCTTGAGAACTATTTTTTTTTATTTTTTAAAAAAATCAGGTTTTAATTCTCCCATTAACATTTATTTGTTTGTTTGTTTGTTTATTAATGGGATTTATATACCTTCA